CACACAAACTCTCACTGAGCTCTAATGTCCATGTACCGGCCTCTGAGGGATTTAAGCCAGCGCATTCATAGCTCCACACCAGCAATTGTAAGGGCTTCACACTGAAGTATCTGAGGGTTCCACACCGGTGTCTCTAAGGGCCACATACTGGCATCTCTGAGGGCCCCATACCGGCGTCTCCGAGGGTCCACATCTGGCGGGCACCCATCAGCGACTGAAGGCCCCACACTGTCGACTCCGAGAGCCCCATCTGCGTCTGGGAGCACCATGCCGTCTCTAAGAACCACAGCGGCTCCTCCGTACGAAAGATGGGCGTCTGCATGGCAAAGGGGAGCGGTTCTGAGACAGAAGGGCACCTACGTGCAATAGAGGGGCGCCTATGAAGCCCATAGGGGCGCCTCAATGCGAAAGAGGGGCGCCTCTGAGGCCTACATACAGGGTGGACCAAAAAGGATGGAAACATTTTAAACTCGTATAAAACATGCAATAGGTATTGCATGCAGGTGACTGAAAATGATACCAAACGAGAGTATATTTTGTGGAAATTCATAATGACATCATGCTCAGCTGCTTTCTCTCGTTTTCAGTCTCTCACAGCAAATGTTCGAAGAGACCACCTTTGCGAGACAGGCTCAGATCGGCCCGCCTGGCGGCTGACGCGATAGCCCAACGACACATGTCCTCTGGTTTGACTCGCACAGCCTTGGTGATCGCTCTCTTCAGGTCACTAAAGCCCTTGTTACACTGCCGAATTTTGGTACACGAATGTGCACGAATATGCAAGTCATCCTATGTCGCGGACCGATTCGGGATCTTTCTTCCACGGTCTTGGCATTTCGCAGACCAGTCGGTGTCCACTGCGCGACTTTTACGGTTCGTCACGACCGCCACGATATTTCATGAAAAATGAAAATTTCGTGGCCGTTCGCCGAATTTATAATAAACGAACATGATCGCCAAACAGTCGCCGAGTCGCCGCCGACATGTCGCTGCGTGCGTCGACTTGTTGCCAAGGTATCGCCGACTATTCGCAACAGATTCGCCATTCATTCGCGATGTTCGCCGAATCATGGATCATCTTCGACCCGCGCACGATTAGGGGGGCCCCCCACCCGTTTTCTGCAAATCGGGCTCTGTCGGCGAACTGTTCGCCTCTGTCGGTAAACTGTTCGCCGATTTCCTACACGACGTGATTCGGCGACAGGGTCGTGGCCAAAATTCGGCAGTGTAAAGCCCTTGTTACACTGCCGAATTTTGGTACACGAATGTGCACGAATATGCAAGTCATCCTATGTCGCGGACCGATTCGGGATCTTTCCTCCAATGTCTTGGCATTTCGCAGACCAGTCGGTGTCCACCGCGCGACTTTTACGGTTCGTCACGACCACCACGAATATTTCATGAAAAATGAAAATTTCGTGGCCGTTCGCCGAACTTATAATAAACGAACATGATCGCCAAACAGTTGCCGAGTCGCCGCCGACATGTCGCTGCGTGCGCCGACTTGTTGCCAAGGTATCGCCGACTATTCGCAACAGATTCGCCATTCATTCGCGATGTTCGCCGAATCATGGATCAGCTTTGACCCGCGCACGATTAGGGGGCCCCCCACCCGTTTTCTGCAAATCGGGCTCTGTCGGCGAACTGTTCGCCTCTGTCGTTGAACTGTTCGCCGATTTCCTACACGACGTGATTCGGCGACAGGGTCGTGACCAAAATTCGGCAGTGTAACACGGCCTTTACACGGCCTTAAAGCTTACAGAACTTTCTTTATAGACCTGACCGGTGACCCTTGAGATGACCCTACAGAAAAAAAAATCCATAGCGTCAGGTCGGTTGAGCAGACAGGCCAGTTCCACTTCGGTTCGAGGGTGGGAGCGACGTGGCTGACCTACCAAGCGACGCTAAAGAAGTTCTTGAAGTGAGATCAAGCGACGTATGGCAGTATCTTGGACCTCATGTGGCTCCAGCAAGGCTCTCCTCACATAGCAAAACAATGCTCAAGTGGATCGAGAACCACTCTGGTGACCGGCTGATATCCCGCGGTGCCAGTCGGAACTGGCCCGTCTGCTCACTTGGATTTTTTTTCTCCTGTAGCGTCATCTCAAGGGCCAGGTCTACAAAGAAGGTCCAGCAAGCTTCTGCGGCCTGAAGAGAGCGATCATCAAGGCTATGCGAGTCATACCAGAGGACATGTGTCGTTGGGCTATCGCGTCAGCCGCCAGGCGGGCCGATCTGTGCCTGTCTCGCAAAGGTGGTCTCCTCGAACATATTCTGTGAGAGACTGAAAACGAGAGAAAGCAGCTGTGCATGATGTCATTATGAATTTCCACAAAATGTACTCTCGTTTGGTATCATTTTCAGTCACCTGCATGCAATATTGCATGTTTTATACGAGTTTAAAATGTTTCCATCCTTTTTGGTCCATCCTGTATATGGGCGTCCACATGCAATAGAGGTCTGCAAATTGCAATTGATCAATGCCATGGGGTGCATTCATAAGAAACAGGGGCGCCGGCATGGCAAAGAGAGGCGCCTTCAAGTGTCCATAAACGACAGACGCCTATGATAAGCGCACATTGTATGCGACAACGGGGCGACTGTGGGACATATAGGGATGTCTCTGATGACTATAGGCACATAGGGCGCTTACATGCCAAAGAGGGCGCCTATGAAGCTAATGGGGGCACCTGGAAACGAGGAAGACATTTGTGTAAGGGTTTTCAGGGGTCATGCGCCGTTTGCGGCAAATAGATTCTAAAAAAAAAAATCGGAGGGGTAAGAAGATTTAAAAATGGTGCGGACTTTCCGCACTGTTCGCTTTAGCGGTTACGCCCCTGGGTACATCTGCCCGATCTCAGAAGCTAGATTTGGAGGTCATACTTGAAAGCAGCCAGCAGGATGAGGCAAAAGTTGGAGGCCCCATGGAAAAGGAGGCCCCTTGACAGGGTGGCCCACCCACTTTTCATGACGTTCCTACGCCCGTGTTTTGTGGCCAATTTTTCATTTTCAACTCAATGGTTTTGGTTAGACGGCCATGATTTAGGTTGGCCATGGCCAGGTTTAGGTTACTTTCTGGTGGAGGTTAGGTCAAGGTCTAGTAAAAAGGTCAAATTTCGAAGTTATACTTTTGCATAAAAAGGGTACCTATTTCGATATACCTCATCACGGGGAATCCAATCGGTCGCAAAACGTCCTCAATTTTGCGACCGATACCCCCGAACCCGATTACGACACGCTGAAAAAGTTTTGTGATACAATTCGAAAGCTCCGACCCGAACGATTTCTTGGGGGATTTAAGTCCGGATGAACTTATAAGATTCCGAGACATAGGTATAAGTTGTAGCTACCAATGGCCTTATTACATCGTGCACTGCAACTTTCAAAGGACTCGGGCATCTACTGTAGTTCTGAAGTGGTGACAAAATTGCAAAAAAAAAAATGCTTTATAAAGCATATTCTTCTGTGCCTTCTGATGCGATAGTCCGGCACTATACAGTGTAGCTCATGCTGATAGCTCATGCAATAACCCGAGTTTCGAACATCTAGGATATACCTGAACTGGGTGACCTAAACTTCTGAGACCAGGGTTCCACAATTTCACACGCGATTAGAAATTGATGTATGATAAGCTATGCCAAGTTTCGCGGCGCTTTTACGGGCAAAAATTGCAAGTTTGACCAAAAAAACGTCCCACATCCTGTTTGTTTGTTTGTTTGTTTGTTTGTTTGTTTGTTTTGTTGGGTTAGGCCCTTTCGGTCGACAAGACCATTGCAGAGCCGGAAGGATGATAGGAATTAGGGGGAGACATTGGTCTGGGCAGGCACCCTAGTGAGTCGCCGGGGCTGAGCCCGTCCAGAGGACAGGCCACCCAGCCCCAAGGCACTCACTGCACCCGGCTACGGGGTGCGCTCCCTCGGGAGCAGCGGTGCCGCTCCAAGGGAGCAGCCCGCATGAGATAAAGTTGCCTGTCCAGCCCGGAGGGGGGTTGCGGCGTGGAGGAGAAGGATTTCAGTATCCTGAGGATAGAAGCACGGAACGGTGCCACATCCTGTACCTCATTCTGTTAGCCTTTACATTTTTCCGATCTTTCCCTATCCGTGTGTGTCGGCGCGGGTTCGGCCCAATGTGGTTCGACTGAAAGCATGACATCTGGTCCTTTCCGCCCGGCCTGACCGGCGCGGCGGACCCGTGCCAATCCTCCCGAGCTCGCGGGGCGCGGATGGGGAGGGGCGGCCCGGCAGCCCAACCCCTCTGCGCTAACAGATGGATGGACAGGGGAAATGTGATACTTGTCCTATGACAACAAACCGGCGTTCAGCGCTAGGGCCATCTACTGGTCTAGAAAGGTATCTCTATGTCGGCAAGATCCTCGCCAGGTGGTGTAAAGGTCGCGTGAAACGCACCCTTAAAGTGACTATCCCACCTTTAACATGGGGTTTGAGTTGAGATAGCCAAGTTTGCGGCGAGGTTCAGAAACCACTATCTATCTAGGTTGCAACCCCCGCGGCCTCTTGGTGTTGAAGAAATTCGTTCCCTTCATTTGAAAATGGGCCTTGTACAAGGCCCTATCTTCAACATGGAGCGACCGTTAGTGTGACGTCACCTCGTTTAGTCATTCTGATTTAAATGGGTTTGTTCGTTGAAAAATCGCTTAAAACTTGGTCTGAACTTTGTTGTGGTGCCTACAGAGTAAAAAGAATCAGCTTTATGACAGTAATGTGGCCTGGGGAAGGAGGTAATTTTGGGCTGTGACGTCACATATTTGAAAGTTTGTGTTTGGAATATGGGAAGCCTAAGATGTTTAATGAAAAATAAATGCCAGAACCGTGTTCCTGGTCATCCAATCTATAAAGTCGGGCACAATTTAACTGGTTTTAACAACATTTTAGAAGGTGGGATAGTCCCTTTAAGATTCATCATCCACAAACAACAGATCAACCTATGCTCAACATGGTCACTAGCACTTATTATTACCTCCCCTCACTACCTTCTCACAGGTTTATATCGACCTGTTCGACAAAATCGACGAGAACCTCAAGGCGGCTCTGCAGCTGGACCTGACGGAGATGGCGCCTGGTCTAACCATTCACGCCGTGCGGGTCACCAAGCCCAAGATACCAGAGTCCATCAGGAAAAACTACGAACTCATGTGAGACGGGTCCGGGTTTTCATGGGGTAACTTGGAACTTAGATCGTGTTAAAAATACGTATCTGGCATCTTTGGCTGTGGTGGGTCGGTTGACCTCTGGCTCATTTTTATAAGGGGGGATATTTTCTTCGGGTTCTGCTTCTTTATCGGAATTGTACAGGGTGTCCCATAAGTTCCTTCTCACCTATTTTTTTTCTTTTAGAGGCTCTCTTATTTAAAGCCACACTTAATTCATTTTGTAACTGAGCTGATGGGGTTGCCATGGCAATTGTGAATGTGCTCCACGGTAACTAATTCGTTTAGACAAAATATTTTTTGCTAGAGAGTTCACTTTCTGTGGAGACGGCTTACGCCGCAACATACAGGTCTCCGATACGGGAACGTCTCGGTATTTAGTCTGCACTGGGCCATTCGCGACGGCTGAGGGTGATTGAGGCCATCCAGTCTGTAGCCAATGTCTGTCGCTAACTGGACACACAGTCAACAAGTGACGCCGATGCTTTGTCGGGAGTCAATCGCTGCAAGTTTATGCTCTTTTTTGTCAGCTTTCACGAGTGAGCCATGTGGCCAAAACTGTGTGGCGCCAAAGTGGCCGTCAAAAAGGTCTTAGCGTTAGAAAGTTGGTAAGCAGGCTTTTCAGGATGCATTACCAGCTGTCTAAGAGTATTATTTCGGGGTACCTATCTCACGGTCACTTGGGCTTAAACTTAACGGGGGACGCAAAACAGTCAAATATGTCTTAAAATGGCCAAACATGTGTTTGGTTATGCCTGAGGCTAAAAAAAAACTGGAGGGCTGATGACATCAATGTGGTCATCTGGACTACCTAGTCCGTGTTCGAGATAAAACACCCGTCCAAACCCCAAAACCCATATGGGCGACGGAAAAGGCCTTCGTGTCATCCCGTTTTATTCCATGCAAAAGGCCAGGGTCACAGTAATGTGGGATAATATGCGTCCAGACGCTGATCAGGTTGCGATTGATACTCCAGAAACAGTGTTGGGACGCAGAATGCTTCTCCAAGAAGATCTAGGAGGAGTTTCAGCTTTCTAGCTTAACTCGAACCGCAAGTATGAACACATTTTTGGAGGAGAAAATGGCATCCGGGAGGTCGTAGGTCCATATTCTTCAAGCAAGACAGTGCATCAGTGCACAGGTCAAGCAAAGCTTAGAAGCAGTGCCAGGAGACTGTGATTGGCGTCTGTGACAAGATCACATCCCAGGCAACTCATCGGATCCAAATTTCATAAAAATGTGTTGGAAATATTGAAATCGAGGCTCGTCGAAGCAAAGCGGTGTTCCAGCATTGAGGAGCGCACGGCGCATGCCAAGTCAGTCTGGGCTAACTTCAAGCCTGCTATGCTGCCAAACATGCCGGTTGGCATGCCGCAGCATGTATTTATGTGTTTGCCCATGAAATGGGGAGTACATTAAGGGGTCATAAACATATCAAAACGCAATGTACTCTGTTTTACATGCAAATATAAGGTGAGAACGAACTTGTGGGACACCCTGTATATGCAAAAGAGAATGTTTCAGTTACCCACCTAGTGAACAATGTATTTGGGATACATTATTTTGCTTGCAAGTTGTTAAAGAGCATATCTTTATTCTATTCACGCAATAGGTTTGGTACGTACTACGTTATCTATTCTGTCTGAGCAGACTCCCCGTGGTGACGCTGGGAGTTGTATCAGATGTTTACTGGCCAGCTCTGACCTTCTCTTTACCTCCCCTGACTCTCTCTCTCTCTCTCTCTCTCTCTCTCTCTCTCTCTCTCTCTCTCTCTCTCTCTCTCTCTCTCTCTCTCTCTCTCTCTCTCTCTCTCTCTCTCTCTCTCTCTCTCCTCTCTCTCTCTCTCTCTCTCTCTCTCTCTCTCTCTCTCTCTCTCTCTCTCTCTCTCTCTCTCTCTCTCTCTCTCTCCTCTTCCCACCTCTTCCCACCGCAGGGAGGCAGAGAAGACAAAGCTGCTGATCTCGATTCAGCGTCAAAAGGTGGTGGAAAAAGACTCCGAGACGGAGCGGAAGAAGGCCGTCATCGAGGCAGAGAAGAACTCTGAGGTGGCCAAGATCCGCTACCAGCAGAAAATCATGGAGAAGGAATCCCTGCAGAGGATATCGACCATTGAAGGTGCGGCCGTGTTATTGATTTACCGCATGATTTCCGTGTGGTTTATGAAGTTTAGAAAATAATTCGCGTATAGTAGTTCGGTGTCTGCCTGTAAATAAGTTACGTAGTTATTAAATAAGTTCAGTTTCGAATCGTAATTGTAGATAATAAGCGTAAAATGTTATGTCTTATGAAGGGAGAGGTGATATTTCAGTGCGTGTGTTAGTGTGGTGTGTGGAGTGTTTGGCCCCGTATGAACGGTTCCTTCCTATTGTTTGACAGACGAGATGGAGATAGCCCGTAAGAAGGCCGTGGCAGACGCCGAGTTCTACTCCCGACAGCGCCAGGCGACAGCCAACGAAATGCTACTTACACCAGAGTTCCTCGAAATGAAGCGCATCGAGGCGATTGGCGCCAACAACAAGGTCTACTTCGGCTCCAGCATCCCCAGCATGTTCATCGAAGGCACTGGACCGCGGCCGGCAGCTTCTGCAGCAGCTGCAGCTGTGTCCGCTGAAGGAGCTGGTGGTTTGGCGTCGGAGCAGGCTGGAAAAGTCACTCAGGATTCGCGAAAATCGGCGGCAGCGGCCGGCGACGCTGGCGCCACCCCGGCGGCGGCGGCATTGGGTGGAACTAGTGGTAAACACTGACGACAGAAGATGGCACCAAAGGAGGGCAGAATGTGATGCCATGTGTGGGTGTTGTGTGATGTATGTGCGTATTTGATGTGATATGTGTGATTCTCGTGAAACGTGAAATTGGTGTGATTTGTGGGTATTTTGGTGGCAAATATGGTGATTTTGTAAGTCAATTTCCTCTGCATCGATGGCTGTTTGTTGCTAATGCGTTGGTCAGTCTAAAAGACGGAAGCAGACTTGCCAGTCAGCAGGTTGCATGTGGAACCTATTCAAATAAGGAAGCTCTCGCTCGCCTCAATCAGGCGCATGGAGATGCGAGCGAGATATAGACATTTGAGTAGGCTTTCGCTAGCGATTTCCTGACCGCTAAAAGAGTCTGTTTCAGCCTCAACAATCAAGTTTCTGATACACTGCCGTAAGCCTTCTCCGTAAAACTAACATCATATGAGGTCATGAACAGTTCCTCGCCTGATGGGCCTCACCAGTTGTGTGTCCACGTATCGTAATCGCATCACAGTCGTCTCATGGTCGCGTTGTGCGCGACAAGTAACGTCATATCAACAATAGCATAGTGGGGAGCTTCTTGTATTGCAGACGCGTTACACAGTCTTCGTGCATTCGATGCGTTGTGATATTCATGTTTAGCGCTCAGAAATGCTCTGATGAGTGAGCATTCCGAAATGCTGTTGCTTGGCGACGGGATACCGAATAGACAAGTTCAGAACAGACTAGATGCTGAATAGACAAGCCAGTTTTCGTTTGTATGTGTTTTGCTGGTGGGGCTTGGGCTCTTATACATACTGTGTGAAAAACACTAACGACTAGCGCTCGTGAAATCGTGATCTCACTTCATTTTAAACGAGCGGTAGCGACGCTTTTGCTCTTGTTTACATCTTACTCCAACTGTCGGATCCTGAGAGGCGATCTTTGACGCTGCGGGGGGGGGGCATACCCCCAAAAATGTTTCGAAAAATTTACAATTCGCCGTACTTTGATTTCCTACGCACTACTGTGCAATTTGAAACACTTTTCCTGATAAAAGTTGTTTAACCCTATTAGTGGCAGGCTCCTGGCTACCCCTATCCCGCGCCGGGCCGGTGCTCTGAGATTCCGCGCCGGGCCGGGGGGGGGGGGATGTCTGAACACCCCCCCCCCCCTAACTCGGCTCCTGGGCCACGTAGCGACACGCGGTAAGCGGCAATCGAAAGAACGTCCAAAATAAGGACGAAAACACTTCGGTCATTTTTTGGGTCAGGTCAAAGGTCAGGTCACCAGAGGTCACCAAAGGTCAAATGTCTACTATTTCAACATTTTGGGAACTGCCAGCGGCTATCTCGGGAACCGATAGAGCTACAGCGCCGCGGAAAAGCGCATTCGATAGCCCTTTTACAGTCCTTTCTGAGTAATGTTCTCAGATTTGACCTCAGGTCAACGGTATAGCCTCCAGGGGGCAAAAACTCCAAAAATAGCCGTTTTTACGAAAAACGTTTTTTCGGCAATACCTAACTTTTAACTCAAAAGAGTCATGACATTACTTTTGCCACCATCGTGTTCCTCTCGTCGAGACGCGTCGAATGAACTATAATTTGACCTTGAAGGGTCAACTTGATAATTTTACCTCAAGTCAAGGTTATGAAAAATTTGACCTCAAGTCATGACCTAACTCTAGCATGCCTCTATCATAAGTTATTAGCGATAAACTGTTCTTGACCTGAGATGACCTCCGGGACATAACGACGGCTCGCAGGTGCCATTTTCCGGTTCAGTGTGTCAATTCTACCTGCATCCTGATGTTTGAGAGTGTCTGGAATAGCGTTCGTGCAAAAGAGACGTTTTTCAATTTTCTGCTGTTGACGTAGGAATGGAAAGGCCTACCTAAATGGAAAGGCCGCAAAATTGACCTGACTTTAGGTCACCGATATCAAAATTCCGAGGCATGCATTTTATAGATACTGTCACTGTTATCAATCGCTGGAAGTTTCAAGGCAATCGTTTTGTCGGTGTGGCTATGACGAGCATTCTATTTTTTTTTTTCTGAGGTGAGGTCACTCGGCGTGACCTAGTGACCTGACCTTGAGCGACCTGGGTTGGAAAGTTTCACAACATGTGCGAAAAAGAAGCACAAACAGGTACGGCGGCGCGGAGCGCCGCCGTTTTTGAGATATCTGCGAAAAGCCGCAGGGGGGGGGGGTTCAAACACCCCATTCGGTCCGGCGCGGGTTAAGGTCATGAGCTGACCTGAAAAGGTCATGTTGCATATCAGTCGATCCATATCGTCTAGCTGAACACACCAGAGGTGTTTTCATCGCTCTAGCATGTCTATATCAAAAGTTATTGTAAAAAAAACTGCTGGGGATCTCTCATGACCTGATAGGACCTTAGGGACATAAGAAGAGGTCACGAGTGCCATTTCCGGCTCAACTTGTCGATTTTACCTGTAACCCGACGTGTGAGTGTTTGGAATGACGTTCGTCCAAAAAAGGCGCCTTGTAACGAAATTCGTTCCTACCCCGTCCTCCACCTCCCTCTGTACCTACTTACTGCCCAGCCCCCTCGCCCACTTACAATACCCTTATATGGTCCTCACTCCTCACCTGCGACGCCTGTCCTCGCCCGCTTCTGATTGGTGCTATGATATGACGTACATCTATATGTATGACGTGTGTGTATGACGTTTGAATATAGCGGCCGACGCCGAACGCCGAGCAGGAGCTGTGAAAGGAGGATTCGAAAGCCAACCGCCGTAGCGGCCTGACGTATCGTTATTCAAAGTCTCGGCCGACTGTTTATTACTTTTGGATTCTGTCGTCAAATTTGCAATACATACTTCAAGAAAAGAAAAACCGTGTTGGTTATACGGCTCGAACAAGAGGTCCCCAAACAGACTATCACAGAAGAAGAAATTGTTTATTTACTTTTTACATTTGTTACAAATGGTGCCGTGACCCGGATCTAAATAAAAAAAAACTCAAGAATTGAAATTGGTTCCGCAAGAAATTGCTCTACAAGTCTACGAACAGTAAGCTGTCACTCTTTCCTCTCTTTTCCCTGAACGTCTTCGCCCACATTTTCACATTCGATTGTTCAACTGTTATTGTGCCTGTGTATATTTGTGTAATTTTTGCATTGGGTGACTGTTATCTCCACAGATGTTTTCGTGTGTCAACTGAACTGTTTATTTGTCAACGCTCCATAAACACCACTTGTTTGTATTCGCTGATTGATTTATACTTACCAGAGTTTTTCAAAATGTCCGAGGCAGTCATCACCAAAGCGCTCCAAAATATTTGTCAGGAACTCCGTATTCAGGGTCTAACTCAGCACATCCGAACATTCTCCGGGGAGGGTTCCGCCAAATTCGCCCAATGGTTAAACGACATGGATCAGATATCTATTACCTGCGATTCAGAGCGTATGTGTGTTTTGGCGACCATCACTTTAAACGGATCCGCTGGTGCGTACGCTTCACGCATGCTAAAAGAAAACCCCCAAATCACGTGGTCGGAACTCCGACGCAAACTAAAGGAAAGGTATAGCGAAATGACTGATCCGTACCTGGCTTCGGAAAAATGCAGACGTCTAAAACAGAACCGTGGTGAGTCGGTACAAAATTTTGCTGAAAAGCTGCGGACAATGGCGTCGGAGGCATTCGAAAATCTCTCTGCCCCTGAGGCGCAACGCTTCCTAGTAGAAGTGTTCCAAAAAGGCGTGAGCGACGACAGCTTGGCGCGAAACTTGATCAGGAAAAGATTCACTAACCTCGACGACGCCCTCGCTTTCGCTGAAAGTGAGCAGCAGGCCGACAGGACTTTCCAAATCTGCCGCCATCACTCCCCTCCTCAGTCCGACGTCGAACCCATGGACTGCAGCGGTATTCAGTCCGCTACAGACTCTGAACTTCGGACCACTATTCAGAATCTAACCTCCCAAGTGCAGCGAATGTCTCGCGACATCCAAAAACTGAAACCGCAAAAACGTGCTCAGACCGCCCCACCGCAGGTGCGTTTCAACGTACCTCCGACTACTCCCCCACAGACTTACTTCAACGTTCCCCCGACAGCTCCCCCGCAAGTCCGCTTTGATGTTCCACCCCCGCTGATGTCGTACTATGGCAACGTACAAACTCCCCCTCAAGCCCCTCAGACTCCCAGACCGAACTACCAGTGGACTGAAGATGGATCCCCCATCTGTATCGCTTGTGGCACACCTGGACATGTACGCCGTACGTGCCGACGCAACCCAACCCGTCCTCCTCCCCAAAGTACCCAGGGAAACGCGAACGCGCGTCTCGAAAAATAGCGACCAGAAACGCGCCAAAGAAAGACGGTCCGAAACGGAAAGTTTCTACAAAGAAACCTGGACCGCAAGCAGCACAAATTAAAATTAAACCTGATACGCCGATGTGCTATGTATCTCTGAGCGACCAAAAAGCCTATTCGTTAGTAGATTCAGGAGCGGACATATCCCTTATTTCACGTGAAGCTTTTGATAAAATTCAGTGCAGGAAAATCAAGGGTTTTTCTACGAGGAACTGCGTTCCTATTCGTTCTATCTCTGGTCATAGACTCACAAACTTCGGAACGGCCGTACTACAAGTCAAAATTGCAGGATTTAATCAACCGTTCAAATTCCAAATCGTAGAAGGTCTGAAAAACGACTGTATCCTAGGCAACGACTTTCTCTCCGCATTCGGTGTTCAATTGGATTTTGGACAAAAGACGATGAACCTCAACGGTAACGTCATCCCTCTGCGACCGCAACGTCTGACTTGCCAAACGACGACATCTTTGGTTCGAGTGCCTCACAAAGTTACAATTCCTGCTCAGTCGTATATAGAGATTCCCGCGTTAATCAACCGTGTTCAATTGCTAGATCAAGATTGCATAGTTCAACCTTTGAGCAATGCACCCGTTCTAGGAGAAGAACCTGGTTTGTGTTTGGTTGAAAGTGTAGGTCGCGTAGACAAAAACAAGCGTATTACAGTCGTGATAGTGAACGCCACTGGTAGGGATTACGTTTTGCCTTCTCGATCAGTCATTGGCATTGCGGAAGTTTTAGAAGACCCGGAAGGATGCATATTTACAGCTAGTGAGGAAGGTGACCAGTGTAGTGAACCGTCAGATGACGTCCCCGAAAGTCAAAAAGCGCTATTGTCACATGTGTCCGAAGATCAACGTAAAAAGATACAAGACTTCTTGGCCCAAAATGAGGATTTGTTTGCAAAAAGTGATTTGGATTTAGGTTGTACTGATTTAGTGAAAGCAACAATTGAAACTGGTGATCATCCACCAATTAAACAGCGACCTTATCGGTTGCCTTTCAGTCAGAGAAAACTTGTAGAAGAGCATATCCAGAAAATGTTGCAGGCTGGCATCATTTCCCCTAGTCGTAGTCCCTGGTCTAGTCCGATTGTGATTGTAGATAAAAAGGATGGACAAAAACGGTTTTGTGTTGATTTGCGTGCTTTGAACAAGATCGTTGTCAAAAATAGTTACCCTCTTCCGCGCATAGACGACATTTTGGCTTCGCTTGAAGGTGCGAAATATTTCACTTCTTTAGATCTCCGCAGTGGGTACTGGCAGATAGCCATGGATCCCGAGTCAAAGGCCAAAACGGCATTCACTTGTTTCATGGGCCAATACGAGTTTGAAAAGTTATGTTTTGGGTATGTCAATGCACCCAGTTTATTTTCAGAGCTTATGAATAAAGTACTATGGGGCATTCAACACAAATTTACTATTGCGTATTTGGATGATATTT